GGGAACTGGTGCTTTAATGTGATATGGCCGTACACATTTGATGATGTACAGATTGATCAGTTTAAAGAAAAGATCCGAAAATTCGATAGCATGTGATATATATATATATATATATATATATATATATATATATATATATATATATATATATATATATATATTGATTCGTTGTCTATATATATATATATATATATATATATTGAGGAATAAGCAAAATTTATATGGCATTTTAAAAAGCTAAAAAGAACAACCGGTTTCATCCCACCTTTATCAAGTTTATTTCTGGGATATAAAAAATAAGCGGGTAAATTTAATTAATATTAATAATAACGAAAGAAGGGGAAAAATGAATTTCAAGAAAGCTAGAGTCCAATAACATTCAGACCCAGTAAGCATTCCCTCTTTTTACAATTAGAAGGCCTACGGGCTCTGATATACAAGGACTCTAGAACCTTGAGGTGATATGAGGAGTGGGACTTAGATAAAATCGAGAAATGGTTCGCACTAAAATGAAAAACACAATTCCTGGTATTTATTACATGCTCTGCAATAGAAGAGCCAGAAGTATTGGTTAGTTGACTTTTCCTGGCATCCGGATTCAAAATCCTGGGGGTTAAGTGTTGTTTTATTCTCAGATCCAAACATTGGGACGTCCTCACTATGTAGTCGAGTCAACAACTACACTTGTATTTATAAATCACTGAATTGACATGATATGGTGGGGGGACATCCTTAAGAATGGAAGAGAAAACGGGAAGGGCAACAAATATTATCCGAACATTAGCCGAAAAATAACAGCTATTAATCGCACGCGAAATTCGTCTAGATAAAGATCCACCCTCTGAACCAATAAAGGGAAGACGCAAATAAACTGGACATTTTTTTAACAAAATGCGGCTTAACCCTATAAAATTTATTGATGACATAATGGATAACAGAATCCCAAACATGCAATGTATATCCGTTTTTAGAAAGGGTCATCTTAATAAAATCATTTTCACCGAAGAGAAAGATATCAGAACAAATCATAAGTGCCCTATAAATTAGGGTCTTAATCAAATTAATTTTTCGTTGTCTGTGACAAAAAGAGTCCCAAGCGTATAAAGTCCCGAGAAAGTAGCCTTTCTAAATACAGAAGTCACAAACTTGTCACTAATCCTATTAACAAGAACATCCAAAAAGGAAAGACAAGAACTGGACTCTTTTTCTACGGTAAGCTTAAGAGCGGGGTGAACAGTGTTTAATTTGGTGAGAAACATGTCGGCTTCAGCAGAAGGTATCATCCACATAACGATGATACATAAGAGGACGACCAATACAAGAAAATAAGGAAGCCTTATGAAACCCGACAAAAAATATTCGCTAAAGCTGAAATCAAAGGCGAACCTATCGCTACACCGTCGATTTGCCGATATAAAATATTATCAAAACTAAATTCGACAGACGCGGTGGCGAACATCATGAGAGATCAAACAAATCTCATATATATATATATATATATATATATATATATATATATATATATATATATATACTGCAGAATGAATTTTAAAAAAGCTATTTTCTTTTCAAAACAAGAACTCAACATATTTATAAACCAGACTTGTTTACCGATGAACTTAACTAATGAATTGTTAATTAGTGAACAATTGCTTTCGATGCGCAACTAACACTTTCTTCATCAAAATTCTATCGCCTGAACAGATTTACAGTCTGCCACGTATCAACAGCTAAAGTGTCGCAAGTTAAATTGAGATTGGCAGGCTTGACTTACTACTTACTGTAAAACGCATACGGTCAATAAGATATGTAAACGGACAATCAGGTAAAGTTAGCAGTGTTTTATTTGCGTTCGTGTAGGTGTATCGGGTTTATCTACGATATTTTCTCTGGTCATTCAAATTCTACAAGAGAAAATACTCCAACACTTTAAAAATACAACTTTCCTGAGAAAGACAAACTCCTAGATAAATGATTTCCAAATGCAAACATGAAAACAAATTCCCACTACGCTACCTGCAACAACACACTCCTTATCCTATACCTTTATTTCAAGTACTGACATTTAGAAACCAGAGAAAACTATTTTTAAAAAAATTATATGAATAAATGGGATATATAAGATAATAAATTTAAAATAATAAACAGAACTAAAGGCCATGACTGTAAATTAACATACAGATGAACATAAAAAAATATGTTAAAGAATATTTTTAATATATGCAATATTTATGAGTAAAAGTGCTCGATATTAGAGATAGAGCGTATGTAAATATAATAGTGGACACTGAGGTCAATACGAAGTGGCGACAGCCTGTTTTATGCTTCAGTGAAATATTCAGACTTTTTAAGCTTCATGCATCACAGACGAAAAGTCATTTCTGATATACGAAACAATTGCATTTAAATAATTGCATCTAGCATTGTCTTGCTGAAACATCAAATGTTTTTCTTTTTCCTACGAAGAATTATACAGTGTAGCTCACAGCCAGTAAATATAACCCTGATTATAATTTCTCCATCGTAAAAAACCTAAAATCAGCCCTTCTCGATATGCTTCTATTTTTTGACATTCGTAAGAGTCAGACATGTTTGCTTTTTGGATCCTAGTTCAAACTGGACTTGTACCTATCTTTTTACTCTAGTACGACCCAGACCAATGTCTACCTGATTATGTCTAGTACACATCGGACCCATGACTATCTTTTCGACTCTAACGCAAAAAAACAAAAAAAATCCTGTACCTACTTCTTTATTAATTCGTCGTAATTTCTGCCCTATAAGTGTTATTCGAGATTAAATAACTCAAGCATTGATATTTCCCAAAATTGACCTACTTTACGTAACCACCCACAACGAATCGCTCATAGACATTTGGCTTAGTTTAATATGGTGCAGAATCACAATAATGAAGAATCCTGTAAGGCTTGAACACACACGCAAGCAAATAGTCTGACTAATCCTCTCTCTCTCTCTCTCTCTCTATCTCTCTCTCTCTCTCTCTCTACATACGGCATTCTTCTTACAAGCAGTGGAGATATGTGCTTTTGATTAAAGGCGTTTCTCAGTTGACATAGAGAATAAACATGAGCCGTCGTATTTTTTATATGTTGTGTTGCATATTGTTATTTAAGTAGGCGTATAATAAAAGGTTACATCCATGATTCAGAACGTTTTCTGTCGATACCACTTTGTTCGCTTACACCTCTACCTCCAGATAATACCCTATGAAGTCTTCTTTTCAGTGAATACTACACATCTCTTGTAGAATAAATCCGGAAACATCCATGAATACAACCAGACTTTCGACACGTCATCAAGAAGCGCCGAGAATTCATCACTTCCATACACACGAAAGGACAGGTTTCTTTTAAGGCAAACTTGAAAGCGTATTAACTCAGTACTATTCCTCCACGGCGAAGCACCCACAGATATTTGTTGAGTTTAGTTTGACCTACCACAGATATGGAAAGTCAAGAGACTTGAACCCACTAGACTAGAAAATGATGTAGAGATTTCTGTTTGCTAAAAATTACAGTTTCCCGGATGACCACAGGCCTGAAATTCTACCTCGATATGTGCTGGAAGCGAATTTCACATGACAGGATTAACGATGGTCAATCGATAATCAGTTTATGTGCCAATCAGTTATGACTAATCTCGTAGAATTTTGCTTTACTGTTAGCAAAACGTTGTTACTCTGAGTTCACCTATGCTTTTCATATCGCAACACTTCTGACATAATCAATCTATGGTCAAATAGTGTCCCATTAACTTGCTAATAACTTAATTACAATGCTCGCCAATATTATTAGGACGGGAGTTAATTATTCGAGTACATTGAACTGGCAAATATATCAGCAGAATAACTCATTTGCTTATGACAGGATTCTGCCGAGGTTAGAAATGACAGTAACAGCTTTTTGTTGCTATTGACTGAATAAATTAATCGGGAAAGCATCTCATAAATATTTTCTCTTTTCTCCGTCGCCTATTGTATCACTATACTTTGTTCCAAGAACTAGGATTTAAGACAAACATTTTTGATGCGATGGAATAACCTGCCACCCGCTTGAGTGGCGGCACTTATAGGTGGTAACCGCCTATAAGTATCCATTAGAACAGCGGACAGCAGAGGCGAGCTGGAATCTTTCCCAGCTGCGCTAGTCGAACTCTCTGCCTTCGAGGCTATGCCGAAGGGCAGAGTCTCGTCTGGGGTGTTAGACAGCTACCCGACCCCGTTTTTACGGGGTTTACGGGGAATTTTTGGCCGAGCCTCCGGGCTCGGGAACCTCATTTTAAATTCGGCTTTGTGCCACATGTGACTGCGTGGGGCAGTTGCCAAATAGCGTCGAGCTGGGATCTGCGAGACTAGCGCCCTTCTGATAGCAGCACGAACACAACTGTACTGACTTTCGACGACCGTGCGCATAACTATTACTTCCTTGCTTGTTGTACTGGTTTCTACAATAAACCTGTTACTATTTATCCACCGTGTTTTTCCATTCCATATTCCTATTAGCACGGAATATAACAATTTTGAAAACAGAAACTATGATCTGATTGGTTCGTTTTCTACTGTTATTTAGAACCAGAAAATATTTTTAGATTATAAGATTTTTTTTCTTTTGAGATAGCAATAGTTTAATGATAAAAGTCTTCCTAATTAACCGATAGCTGGGGAAGAAGAGATAAATTCATACCTTTCCCAAGGATGTAAGCGTGTAAGTGCATATAACAAACGCATCTGGAATTGGAACTCAGCTCTCCGATTAACAAGCCGTTATCCATCAACCTTTTACATATTATTCAAAGCCAGAGAATACTTTTAGATTTTAAGAAGTTGGTTGGCATAATAATGATCACTGATAAAAATCCTAATAATTAACCTATAGCTGGGGGGAGAAGAGGTGGATTCATGTTTTTTCCAAGGATATTTGCGGATAAATGAATATAACGAACCCAAAAGGAATTAGAACACGGCTCTCCACACATCTAAGCTTACAACACCTGATATTCTTGAGCAGTCACCCATTTAGATACTGACTAGACTCAATAGTGGTTAACTTTGGTGATCGTACGGGATCCGGGGTTTCAATGTAATGTGGCCGTAAGCCACTCTGATCTCGAATTGAAATGAGAATAATAATAGCACCTACCGTGAATCTATCATAACATTTCGGCATGTGAAGTTAATATATTCAAAACACTTCATTGTTATACGTATCAGTTTTAGCAAATTTAGTATTGGACATTAAGAAAATGATCATAGTACAAGTTGCACTTAGTGTACTTTCGTCCAACATAGTAAGATTCAAGAAAACTAATATATTGTTGGTTTATCTTGTTTACCGGTATATCAACATCTATTGGTTATCTAATGCTGATATCTAAATATATTGAACGCAATTTTTTGGTTTCAAATGAATATATTTTGAACGTAATTGTATGCCTTCAACTACAGATAAAATTTATTGCTGGTAATTTTTCTTTAAATATGTATTGCTGGTATTTTTTATATATAAAAAATTATTGGTAATTTTACTATAAAATTGTATTTTTATACTTTCATAATGATTTGTTTTTGCTTGGGGAATTCACTAATTGCCCAAAGTTGGAACCCTAGCAGGTTTACCATCGTGGATCAGGCTGACTAACCTTGTAACTAGTGCCGCGTTAAATCGAGAATCTTCTATGGATGTCCATACTCGTTAATTTTTTTTCTTAGATCAGTGATTAAAAATTGCTTCAAGCAAAGCAGTCCTTTTCGTCTTAAAGAAGGCAGTCCTTCATCAAACTTTATAGACCGACGCTATAAAATCGTAAACAAAAACTTCACCAAATTAGAATAAAAAACAAATCACTTGCAGACTTTTCACAGCAGCAGCAACACAAATGGACAGTAGGTGAAATTATAGGGTAAAATTATGTGATTATGAGGATGTTGACTTTCCACGTAACATAAAAGAAAAGCTTAAGAAGAAAACTAACATCAATACTGCAAGGAGCGATAGCAGATAGTGCACGGAGAAGTTTATTTTCCAGAAAAAAAGGTTTTAATAAAATCGACAGTGACGCTAACTTCGGTCATTGAATTCCGAATATTTCCGGATGGGGTGGAGAAAGAAAATTCCATTGTGCTCGATAAAAAAAAAGAGAAATATTTAAGACGCAAAAATTGTTTAGTTTATTTTTCTTTTCATTTATTTATTTTGTTGGGGATGGAATAGATTTGGAAATTTTGACAAAATTTTAAAAATATTGAAGAGAGCTTCGGGTATGGAATCGAGAATTCGTGTAAATTAAGTGCGTAAATAATAATAATGCTTGTGTGTGTGAATGTACAGAAACATCTTCCCCCACTAGATTTTCTATCTCACTCTCTCAACACGTGAATTTGGATGTGTGTGAAAATTGACACACTGATTGATAGATATAATAGATAGGGTAGAATAGATAGGATAGATCGGATAGATCGGATAAATAGATAGATATTATAATCGAGAGCCTACTGAAAATATCGCTTTCCGAACAATAATATTTTCCTCTCAAAAACTGATATTTCATCATTTTCAGCTCTACATATATCTCTGAAACATATATGCATACACAAACGCATATATATATATATGTGTGTGTGTGTGTGTGAATAAAGACAAAAGGAAAAATATTCTTTACCAACGGGTTTCGTCCTTTAATAACAAATGCAAGACCTTTATTTTGAAACATGTATTTAAAAATAGTATTGTCTTGCAAGATTCAAACTACACAGGATTAATATTATTTGTGAATTTCCATGACTCTTAAGTAATTGCATTCCTGATCAAAACAAATTCGCGAATAATACTTATATGGGACATGCCACTATATGCTTATCAAGAAGAGTCGCTTTATATCTCTCACATAATCTATCAGAATCCATTCAAATAAACAGAAACCTATCAGCCACTGTCCGCATCATACTGGTGTACGACAATAATAGTCTCATCCACATGTTAAAAAGGTTAAAATAACAGAAGCCTTAATAATAAAAAGAACTTATCAATAATATATATTATGGACACGACCACAACGTGCTAATCGTGTTCGAAAATTCCGAGATGAAATCTGGTCTCCAATGAATGACAAACGCAGGAATGAAATATAACAAATAAATGTAGTTACACAATAATACAATTGGTAATACGGTTAGTAGATCAAGAAACGTAGTTAGTAGCAATAATAATATATATATACAGTCTGGTAAATCCAGTCTCGAAGTAGGACGTCCTTAGAGTCTACGTGCTTGTAACTGTGACTTCTACAAGCGTTTACCTCACACTATTACTCTACCTCCAACTCAATCACTGTTCTGACTGACTCTGGGTATTTAACGGCAGCAGTGGTCGAGTCCACTTGTATCAAAAAGGGGTGAACCCCATAACAAAATTAAAAAATAAAATTCCCATCCCTGAACATACGTATATATATATATATATATATATATATATATATATATATATATATATATATAAAAATATATAAAAATATAAAAAATACAATAAAAAATAAAAAAAGACATCGTTGATAATGGATAATAGGTTAGACGAAAGCGCGCTCGGATGTATAATGCATTTTTACACATTTTATGCCGAGAAAACAAAATACTTGTATGAATGCAAGAAAATTAAATAAAAGGGTTAATCGCCATGCCTTATCAGTCGTCATCAATTACAATTGTATAAAATACTGATAGCTGCCAAATAAACGATATATATATATATATATATATATATATATATATATATATATATATATATATATATATATATATAAATCAAAAAAATAAATGGTCAGGCCGCCTGCTGATTGTGTCTAGCACGAAACAGCCTGTCGCCTCTGAGTGTTGACTTCAGTGTCCACTTTTATATTTATTTACATACGCTCTATCTCTGATATTGAACGCTTTATCCCATAAATATAGCACACCTTAAAGCTATATTTCTTCATATATATATAAATGTAAAATACGTGGGTAAGTAATCCAAGTGAATCCTATTAATATAAAGTATTAAAACTAATCCACAAAAGGGTGTTCAATATATTTATTATAGAACATAGAAATGAATTGCATACAAATGAAACTCAATTTGACCTAATTTTTATGGCCATTTCGCTCCCTGCATAAACACCCTTGTAGAGAGGGAGAACAGAAAAATAGTTTGTTTTGTCTTCCTGTTCCTTCTCGCTCTACTTGGGTGATTCTTCTTTACCTTGCAAATAATAGACAGTTCGAACTAGTCACCTATTGATGCTGTAAACCCACAAATGCTAGTTGTTTGCTAGGAGCAAATGAAGTTAGTGCTCAAATGAACGGAACGACTATTGACTAATTGTAATTCTAATTTTAATTTATACCTTTCCTCAACAAAACGTGATATCTCTCCTTTTGCATGGCAGCGAACGCAGGACAATCTCCTCAAGAAGAGACTTGAATCAGCAGGCAGATTTTTCTTTGGATTTTATTAAGGATTTCTGAATGAACAGCAGCAGCACCACCAGAGGCAACAAGCATGACGCACTCATATATATATATATATATATATATATATATATATATATATATATATATATTGACACATGTTTCATTAAATAATATAGTCAAGTGTTGTCTGTTTATTTTATGCAAATTCTTTTCATATCGTCTGATAAGCTTAATAACATTATCATTAAACGAAGAAAGAAAATCACAATATTGATACATATTTTTTAATCCTATCTAAGCATTCGGCTTACATAAGCCATTATCAAAGATGACAATGTATATAGCTTCAAGAATTTTTAATTTCTTTTTATTGTTTTTATGTTTAAGTATAGTTGTCTTTTCAACAAGGATTTTCCGGAATTGTGTATGCGGCCAAGCATGATGTTTTAAATGCCTAAAAATGTTAGAGTTATCATTCAAATGTAGTGGCGTGAAAGCGAGTTTGTGGTGTGACCAACATAAATATTATTTAATTCGTCAGAGATACAATCTCCCAAAGGGCATTTGAATTTGTAAATCGCTAACCGGGGGAGAAGAATCATTGCGAAGAATTAAGTTGGATATACTAGATTTAGTGTAGTATATGATTAACTTAATTTTTTTGCTAGGATCTCTTGTAGATATATTAGTATTTACTAATTATTTTAGTATATTTTCATCTTGTTTATAATTAGTATGCATTTGATTACGATATAGGAGATTAATATGTTTGAGATTGGTAGAAGCAGTATTATGTACTATTTGCTTAGTATTGAGATTTCTAAGAAAGCATCTTATTTGTTCATCAACTATATAGTTTGGAAAGCTATTATTAATAAGTGTTTGTTTTATATTCTTTAGTTCACTGTAAAAAATATAGTAATATGGGCATTGGCTCTTGTAGTTAAGTGTACATGAATTTATGCTGGTATAAATATATATATTAGAATAAAAACGAATATTAAAAACCAATATTTGCGATGTTTTTTTTAAATTGAGCACTCTGGATTTATACCCCTTTTTTGGAATTTCCATACGGATTACCAAATATTACACACACAAACACACTTATATATATATATATATATATATATATATATATATATATATATATATATGTGTGTGTGTGTGTGTGTGTGTGTGTGTGTTATAAAATTAGGGTATGTGATCCCGACAAAGTTTTAAAGTATCAACAATGATAAAACGTTTATGATAGTATATTGTTTCAAAATATATCTGATTATGCATTTCGCCGTTTAGGATTCATCAGATAAGAAGTAAAAAAAATCAGTGGCTTTCAAAAAAAGTCGTTAACATTTATGTTCTTTAATTTAAGTTTCCGAATCGAAAGCCACTCATCTTTTTTTTTTTTTTTTTTTTTAGACACGTGCAACGCCCGCTTAGGAAAGAAATGTTAAGATTTCATTCTTTAAATATACACAAATGCGCGTACACACACACATACGCAACTCACTTTTTTATGCTTCTGGTCTGATTAAGCCTAAATGCATAGTCGGATATATTTCGAAACAATATACTTTGATAAACGTTTTCCAATTGTCAGTATATATATATATATATATATATATATATATATATATATATACATT